AGCCAACTGGAATGATTTGCTGTATTTGTGACAAGTACTTTGTGCTATTCACACATTTCAAATGATGAGCCAGTTAGAGAGATTCTACACTTCAATTCAGCAGAAGAGCAGCACAGTTTGGACTACATTGAGTATTAGAATTTTACCATTTAAAAAAGGATGTACAGAAAATAAACCAGCCCAATATAAAATGGGACTGGAAAGAGGCAATAGTTTAATCATTCCTCAGTGACTTAGATGACCAGAGATGAGTAGAACTGACAGTGTAACAAGATGATTAAAGAACTGTTAACAAAATAAGAAAATTTGTACATCTCAAACAGAACCAGATACATTGCTTGAATAATACCAAGTCATGATAATGTAAAAGAAATTCAGGACTGGGAATTAGTAACTGTAAGATACAGGGGCAGGGGCATAAGTGTAATATGGCCATCAGCAAAACAGAGTGAATCCACTTGGATAAAGGTAAGATAACATATCAGTCCAATACTTGGAGGTCTACAGACCACAATACTGGACAGGAGATGGAGGAAGAAATATGCAAAAAAATTATGGGATTTTTAAAACCAATCATGGGTGTTTTCAACCATCCTGATATTAAAAATTGGCCAGAAGAGGTAGCTAGAGGGGATAAAGGAATGGAGTTCCTTATAACATTGGATTTAAAAAAAACTCATTTGTTAGTTCAGTTTGCTGGATAGCTGATTTGTGATGCAGAGTGATGTTCAATTCCCCCACTGATGGTAAAGCAACCCTATGGTCCAGGAGGACTTCAGCAATCTCACCTTTAATCTGCAAGTCTGACAAGAGAAACTTTGCTATTAGATCTAATAGCAGGCAAGGCACCAAGTATGGCTAAAAACAAAGGGGATAGAGACCACAATAGTTACAATTCAGGATAATAATTTAAGAACAGGCATGAAGAAAACTAGGTAACAGACTGGTGATAACTTTAGGGGCTGATAAAAAAACAAGTAGACAACATACTGACACAATTAAGAAATGAATAGTTCTCAGACTAAGCAAACTATATTGCCCTGGAAAGCTAAAACACAAGCTTCATTAATAAAGAAACAAGGCAACATTAGGGGGTGTTGAGAAAAAGCAGGAAAGTCATTGAGGTAGAGGATCAACCATGATCATGTTGAATGGCAGAACAGGCTTGAAGGATTGAATGACCAATTCCTGCTTCTAGTTTCAAGTATAGATACTAAGGATAGGGACACAGACGGAAATGGAACAAACTTAAATCCATGGGTTTTTAAAACCGAGATAGTAATCCCTGTATGTGCTTTTGAGAAATTTGCAGAACACTGGTGCATAACTGAGATATCTATACTTCAGGAGGAAGCTGAAGCTGTAGACTGGACAGCCTAATATTGATTGTAGAATAAATGGGCATCCCTTTTAGAAAACATAAGTAGATAACAGTCAAAATGGAGTTTATGAAAGATAGAATATTGCTTGACCAACACTGTAGAAATTAAGTGACAGAAGGCAGCAGTGTTTCAGATTCAATTTGTCTATTTTCAAAGCCCCTCAATATACTAATAATTGTATTATCAAAAAGATCAGAATGTGAAGTCAGGTGACAATGGTTTGCTGATTGCCTTCAAGACAATACAGACTAGAAGTAAAATGGTAGTTATTCAGTCAGTTTCCGAGAAACTAGGAAGTAGTATTTCACAAGCATCAGCAATGGGACCAGTGCTGTTTGTGATTTACAATATGGACTTCGGAATCAATTTGAATTTGCAGAATGACAGCATAAAGTGGGAGAAAATGGTCAATGAGGATGGCAACAAGTTACAAAATGATGTTAATGTGCAGAATGGACATAGTTGTCGGATTATTTTATCCAATGAAATTTGGTATTAGACTTTGGCATTGTAACTACAGTTGCCTTTTAGATAGGAAAGGACTAGAATGGGGACAAGGTGCTAAGGTTGTATTTTGAGCTCAGTTATTACAAGATAAACTCCATATGGGACTGCAGCAGCTGTACCTGAAACAGATTGATTCATTCACAACTTTTGCTCAGGAGGAGAGTCATTTGAGCAAGTCAGTCTGTTTGTTGGGCATTGAGACTGCCTGCAGACTGGCATGAACAGCTGGTTTCCATGGCTCACCCTCTTCAGAGGAGATGACAGCTTCATCAAATAGTCCTCTCCCAGCACTTCTCTTGAGGTCCAGAATGCACAGTACACAGTACTGACCCTGTGACATTTGGGTGCAAAAAGCAAAGCACCATGTGATCTGTCCAGGTAGGTATGGAATCAATTTACTCAGACCAATCGTCCTTTTGGGCTCTGTCCATGAGTTGTGCACCAGAGTCAGCCATCTTCCAAGATTTAAACCAGTCACCCAGAAGCCACTTATTAAATAAGGTTTGGCCCAGACAAATATCCAAGGGATGTAGGTCTGCATGATCTGATCATGGTGGTCACAAAAGCTGGGTGTTAAATAGAACGGTATCCTTTTTTGATAAATACTCCATGTCACCTGGAAGGCTTTGTAAAGACCATAGGAAATTACATCCATGACCTGCACTTTCGGAAATCCACCGATTCTTCTAAACTGTCTGGCTCAATCGGACAGTGTCCACACTGAATTAGCTTATGCCTGCTTGAATATGGCATGTGACCACTCAAGGCAGTGATACATAGCTGGCTCCTCCAAGGCAAAAATAAATTAAGGTCACCGAGCCACAGATGCCCAACCATCTAACTGGAGGAGATTGACACCAACCAGCATATCACAGATTGTAGTGACCACTTTCCTGGAAAGCCAGACTGAGGAAATTGCATCCTGTCGTCAACTGCAAGCACATCAGCCTGGTCTGGCACTACTGGCCTTTTTCCTGATCGCTTGTGCCTTTGCCAAGGTAGGGAGCAAAGCTTACTTGTGCTTTAGCCAGGTCTTCCAAACCAAGCCCACCAACCCCATCTCCAAAGGAATCATTCCTATACGGAATGGACAGCACACAATTTAATAGAATGTCCTATTTGCTCCCTTTCAACAAAAGCTGACAGCAGCTTCAAATTGTGTAAATCCAAATAACCAACACTAGCAAGATCACCAAGCCTGTTGCTGTTATGGAGAAGTCAGCCTCAAGTGTGGGCAACATATTATTCCAGACTTACAAGCTTAACATTTGCCAGGTAGTTTCCTAAAATGGTGGGCAATCTGTCAATTTCAGAGCTGTTCAGGTTTGTGCGACCAGACACCACATGTGCAGGATGGCCTCCATCCAGAATCCAGCAAATAAAATTTCAGTCCCATGTGCATAAATACAGAAGGTCAGTGTTGACCCAAGAATAAAATTGAAAGGTTTTGATTAAGCATCCACAAGAGAATATTTGAAGGGAAGAGTGAAACTAGAAATGATCCATACAAGATAACCAAGGAATGAAAAGAGGGAATTCAGGAGAAACACCTATAGAAAAAAGGGAAAGAAGGGAGTTGTACAGATGCATTTTAAAAAGGCTGAATATTGTACAAGAAAACAAAATTGCGTTTGATGCTGAAAAAGACATGAGGTGCATGTAAGAGATACTACAGCTTTATAAAAGGTGCATTTTATGCTGGTTTTTAAACAAAGAGGTTTGAAGGCAGAGGTTATGAGCTGTCTACTGAAAACTCAAAGTAAACAGCGTGAGGCCTTGGGTTTTCTTTGAACTTGGAACAGAAGCAGCCCGAATGGGTGTGGTCAAGCTCAGAGAATCAGGATTTTCAGTTTTAGCTTTCAGCAGTTGCTGATGTCTTGAAGTAGAAGCTATTCCTCCTCACTGCCCCTCTCGGTTATAGCTAAATGCTGAAGGCACTCTTCCTGTGGCTGGAGTTGCATGTGAGATATGGAGTCAGTAATACAGCATGCAAGCAGGCCGTTCGGCCCAAACTAGTCCATGCTGCCCACTCAGCTGGTTCCAGTTGTCCATATTCCTCTAAACCCTTCTCATCCATCTACTTATCCAAATTTTTTTTTTTTTTTTTTTTTTTTTTTTTAAAAAGTTGTTATTGTATCTGCCTCAACCACTTTCTCTGGCAGCCCATTCCATACATGCACCACTCTGCGTGAAGAAGTTGCCCCTCAGGTCCTTCTTAAACCTATGCCCTCAATTTTCAATTCCCCATCCCTGAGAAAAAAAGACAGTGTACATTCCTTCCTATCTATGCGCTTCATGATTTTATACATCTCAATAAGGCCAAACCTCATTCTCCTACATTCCAAGGAGGAAAGTCCTATCCTAGCCAACTTCTCCCTGTATACTCAGGCCTACTAGTCCTGGCAACATCCTCGTAAACTGGAAAGTGTGCAAAGAAGATTTAACTATGTCTTTGCTAAAAGAAAAAGTGACCAAAACTGTACACAATATTGCAAGTGCGGCCTCACCAACAATTTATTCCACTATAACAGTGTCCCAACTCCGATGCTCAATGCTTCAACTGATGAAGGCCAGCATGCAAATGCCTTCCACCTCCCTGTCCACCTGTGATGCTGCTTTCAACAAACAACGTACTTGTACACCTAGGTCCCTCTGTTCCACAACACTCCTCAGGACCTTATTTATTGTACAAGTCTACCTCGGTTTAACTAAACAAATTTTTTTTTTTAAAAATTTGTCTTTTTGTTAAGAATGTTACTATCCTTACAGGATGTTACTATATTGGAACAGTTAATAATCTATTATTCTGTTAGTTTTCCCAATAGAGAGTTAAGTATTCCAATTTCCTTTTTGTTGTATTTGAACTATAGTGGATGAGTAAAGTATGTTTTGCTTTAAATCCTATATAGTTTGACCAATTGGGTTGCATCTGGGACAAAACACTGGGTACTTGCCTTTGAAATAAGACGACAAAAAAGACGGTTAATGTAGACCCTATCTTCTTAATGTATTTTGACAGGATCTGGTCCAATGTATAACATGCAAGTGAAAACATGGATTGGTTGGCCCATTTCTACATACATCACAGGATAGGCCTTTTGACCCATCATGTCTGTGCTGGTACTCCTTTCTTGCTCCCCACCCAGCCTTTTAGCTCTGCACACAACACAAAAATTACATCTGCCCCTTGTCCAGGGCTGTAGTATCATTTGCACATGAACACTAGGGGTGTTATTATACTTACATGGATGCTGAATTATTAGTTACAAGTCAACTTTGGCAAAATCAGATTGGATAGTCAGAGGTTGATATTGCTAAGTGAATGGTAACAGTATTCAGATCTAACGGTCAAAGAAAGCTAACTGATGTGGATTACAGCGTCAACTTTACATCTGTTAGAATGTAACAAAAATCCAAAAAACACAAATACAAACATTTTATAAAAATGGTGGTAATCTGGATTAGAGTGTAGTGGTTTCCAATATCAGTGAACACTCAGTGCCATCTGGAGCTTGCAACCATCATCCTTCCAAAACTTGTTTGACCAAGTGAAGTACTGTATTTCCCCCAGGCACCAAGTGGCACAACCATGGTAGTTACATTATCTTGTGTTCCATACTGCAGAGCCTGAAATTTACATTTAACATTAGAATATAAAATAACAGGAGTGAACAGTATTATCTGCACTGGTTTAAAATTTTAAAGAAGTAGTTTCCATTATCCTTGGGAAATTGTCATACCAGTTACATTATTAATAAGGCCAGTGAAATGTATAATGTTAAAGGTTAACAGTAACAAACAGGGAGTCATACTGGGGATAGTTAAAGTTTGATAAACTTTCTTGCCTGCTCATTTACAACTGCAGCAGCTTCTGATGGATCCTGGTATTTTTTCACAATGTCACACATCTCTTGTGCCTCCATAATTCCACTAACTCCATCAGTGGTCAGGATCAGGAAACAGTCTTTTGCATGTTCCAACTGGTAATAATGTTGGCACTATTAGTTAGATTTAACACTTTTTGGAAAGGAAACATATGACAAGTAAAGTTCAAGATGTTTTACCTTGACTGTGTTAACTTCTGGTTGAGCAGTTACCCCAAAAGGTTTGAGATCCATGTCCCCAATGCTACGGGTCATGGCTAATCGACCATTTACATAAGGATCTCCAACACTATTCCAGTCTATGAAACCGCCACACTCCTTAATCCTTAGTGTTTTAAAAAAGGGAATTGCAATCTCCAGTTAATACAGTTTCCAACCAACTTTTAAAAATTTAAAATCAATTTCAGATCACCAAACAATTGGACATGCATGACTAGCCTGCTTGATGTCAGTATATTTTCTCCATTTGCAAGGTGACATTTATACAACTGCTGCTAGAGTTAGAACAGCAAGATCTACAATACTGGAGCACCATCATCTGACTGTCAACTCTGCAGTAATGCTGCTACTTCATTTTCCCCCTATAGTTCTGTAACTTCACCTTCCCATCTGTCCAATTTTAAGGTTGAAAGTTTCCAATTCAGCTATTCCCTATCCAACACTGCAATTTCACCTAACCGCTCTCCTCACACAAGATTTTAATTTGATTTTCTATCTATAATTTCACAACCTGTAGCCACACAATTTTAAAAAGGGCAAACTAACATTAAATCTCCTTAGCTTTGTGTGAACGATCCTAGAGTTAAGTATTTACCTAGTCTCCCGTTCTTGGTATTGAACTATTGAGTCTACAGTATGCACTATAGCATTAAATCTTTCTATTAAACGTGAGCCACAGAAGTGAGATCAGATTTATTTTGAAGATGTACATATACCTTTTCTTTTCATCTTTCCTTCTTGGGGTGTGATCTTCTGTTAATTGCTTAGCTTTCCCTTCACGACAAAGAATCGCTGGACTATCTCCAACACTGGCCACTACAAGCATTGTTTCATTCAGCAAAGCTACAGTTGCAGTTGTCCCTGACGTTAGCAGCTCACCTGGAAAAAGGTTAGAACAGCATTAAAAAAAACTGTTATCCAACAATGTTTTTAATCATGGCATGTAAACATCTCACATCACTCTTAACATAACTTTAGAAAAGAACAAATATGACTTTAAATTTTGAACGCTTTGATTTATAAGTTGGGTTAATCATAGTATTTTAGTATAAATGGCATTCATATTAAAATGAATCTCAATCTCTACTGTTGAAGTTATTGCAAAAAACGGATCAGAAGGGACGAACACAAGTTGCTGGAAGCTCGGAGGTCTGGCAGCATCCGTGAAGAAAAAAAAAAATCAGAGTTAATGTTTCGGATCCGGTGATATGTTTCGGGGTCCGATGACCTATCCTCAACACTTATGAGGAAGGGTCACCGAATCCAAAACGTTAGCTTTTTTTCCTTCAGATGCTGCCGGACCTCCTGAGCTTCCAGCAATTTGTTTTTGATCCTGATTTACAGCATCCGCAGTTCTCACTCAGATAGCTGCATTACGACAAGCGTCATTAACTACCAAGTTGTTATATCAGGTTCATGTCATATTTAAACACTACCAACAACTGTTAGAAGCTGCAAGAAAAGAGTTTGAACTACAAAAAAGTACAGTTGCAAGACTACCCATCTGTAATTACTGTTCAGATTAGTCTTTTCTCAATTTATATTCCACAACTGCAGTCCAACTGTGATTGAGCTTTTAACTTGCAGTTAAGCTGCAGTTAGAAGTTTCACTGTTAAAGCTAGCTACCTCAAACAACTGTCATAGTCTGTATATCTATACAATTGATCCCAGTCAGATTTATTTAAGTTGAAGAGTTAAAACTGAATCTTAAAAACAGGGTAACATTAAGAAACAAATGGGTGTTCAACATAGAAAGAAAGACAAACTCACAAAGAGTTAACATGGTAATGTTTATAAACATTCGCCATCTTCAGTAGCCCAGACAAGGAACAGCTAGACTCCTTTACCTCGGTTAAAATATAGAAGTAGTGACAAGCCAAAAGCCAGGCACAGCTCGTTTAAAATTAAACCATAACATTAACAAACCACTCATCTGCCTCAAATGTTCCAAGCTGTATGTAAACAGCAGTACAACTCTTTCAAAATGTTGAAAAGAAGAGTTGTAGTTGCCACATTACAAACCAAAGTAGTTAAATAAGCAACAAGCAAACCTGATTAGCAAGTGTCTTAATCTTTCCAACTGAAAATCTTACAAAATTTGATCAGATTGTGGTCAAAATTGCTACAAAATGAAGCCAATATCAAAGCTACTGAAAAAGGAGGAAGTTAGTTTTGTAGATTAGCAAAATTGTACAAACCAGTGTCTATGCCCCTTTTCTTAAAACAAAAAGGTATGCACTGAAACTTCCAATATCAGCACTGGTCAGACAGCCAGAAGCACAAAAAACCCGAAAGAAATGCATCACAGCCCTAATAACATCCAAAATAATGTTTTCAAAACCAGAAAATAAGAGACTCCAAAACCAAAGAATTAGGAAAGACAATTAGCTTGGAGCCACAAATCAGAATACTGATGCTTGTTAGACAGGCTGGTAATGTTAAATGTTTATAGTTAAATATGCTAAGTTCTATAGAAAATAGTGTACATGGTGTATAAAAATTATTATGTAGCAATAAATGGCACTAAAACAGAACAGCACAAAATTTCAAGCTTCTGAAAGGCAAACCAAGCCATGGACAGCAAAACAGAGCCAGGCACTAACTGGGATTGGGGAGAATGTTCCAAGTAGAAAAGTGAACAAACTCATTTCTGGGCCAAACTGATCACCAAAGTTGGGTCTTATAAAAGGAATTTCTCCAAACACTTCACAACTCCCTCCATTTCAAAAGCACAATTGCTGTCAGATGATTGATTTCAGTCCCACTAACAAGTGCACATCCAGAATTAATTATTGACCTTAAAAGCTGCCTTACATCAAAATGAATAGCCAGTGCTTTCACTGAATCCTGGTTCTAGGAATCTTCCTTGGGTAGTGACACCATTCTTGATTTTAAGCCTCATTGTAGAGTGATCACAGCAACTGAAAGCAAGTCAAATCTTATTGTTCACATGATTAACATTAATAACTTACTTACCCACCTACAAGTCAAGCTGTTATCGCAGAATTCCTACAGTACTGAAAGGGGCCATTCAGCCCATCGAGTCTGCACTGACCCACCAAGGAGTATCACACCCAACTCCAGTCCCCTACCTTATTCCCATATTTTACCATGACTAATCCATCTAGCCTGCACATCCCTAGACACAGGTAATTTAGCATAGCCAATCTACCCAACCTGCACATCTTTAACTGTGTTAGGAAACTGAAGCATCCAGTGGAAACCCATGCAGACAGTGTGCAAATTCTAGTTACACCATCACCCAAGGCTGGAATCAAACCTGGGTCCCCAACATTGAGGCAGCAGTGCTAACCACTGAGACAACATGCCACCGTTTGCAGTGACAGTCACTATTCTCCACCCAAGCATTGTGCTACCAAACAAGCTGCAACTAGACAGATCCAAACAGGTTGGCAAAATATGAACTACACCAATATCAACAAATTCTGAAACATGTTTAGGGATTAATACCCAATTTGCTAGATTACTCGAACTGGATTTCTGGATCCATGATTCATATGACAAATAACTCAAAATGCATTGGAACAGAATTAAAAATGCTCTAATGGGTACATGACATTGGTGAGGCCACTTTTGGAGTACTATGTACAGTTCTAGTGACTAAGGTTTTGGAGTCGATTTGTAGCTCGGGTTGTGGATGTTGAGGTTGGTTGGCTCATCGAGCTGGTTTCTTGTTTCGCAGATATTTCGTTACCATGCTTGGTAACATCAGTGCAGCCTCCGATGAAGCGTCCGTGTGTTTTCCCGCCTGGTTTTTTAAAAACTCTGGGGTCCGTTGAGATGGATTGCCTCACTTCCAGTTTTCCTTCGTAGTGGAATGTATATGGGGGCGAGTTCTATGTGTTTATTAACGGCATGCTTCGTGGAGTGCCACAAGAAT